GTAATTATAAACATCAATAAATATATATTTTTTCTAGAACTGTTACTTTTCAAGACTAATGTATACTTTCTCTATTTCTGAACGGTTGTTTTTTTTAGTTTTGATTGAAGTCAAATATTATTATGTTTGCTATCAATTCTAGAAACCGATAGAATATTTAACTTAAGACAGGTAGAACTACAATCTTTGTGAAACGGATGGAGTACATAGTTATTCATACTCATAGTTATAAAAATTTGACTTCAATTTTATCCAAAACAACAAAAATATATTTAAATAGAGGTAGAACCCACTAGAATCACAAGCATTTGTTTTTCTAATGAGAAATTTCCATCCATACCACCACGGGTGCGGTGGCGCCAGAAGTGTGGCATGAATACAGTAACTGACTTTTTCTGTGACTGCCAAACGTTAGTGCCCAACCAAACAATGGCTATTTTTGTGTGGCGGACGAAATTTTGCTGTGGAGGACGCTCGCGGGCGACCAAACAGCCCCCAAACGCCACCATCAGCGAGATAGCGATGTACTATATATGATTCATAAATCTCCTGAAAAAAAGTATACGCACTCCTCCTACCAGTTCTGAGGACGGGTGTGAAAGGAAAACCTAACGCATCCTAATCCATGCTTAAACTATCCTTGACCCCCCCTGCATTACGAGGTCATTCTTTAAACTGAGGAGGAGCTGGAGGTCAGCAGCTTGCTGCCAATGCTTGGCCTAGCTTGCAAAGTCATCGTGCCGTCTGAAGTCTGAACTGAATAAAATGTTCTTGAGGCTTAGGCTATGCTTAGCTGTGGTTTCCCCTTATTTGTAATTTGTAAATTGTACGTAGTAAGTCCAAGTCCAAAGAAGTTGCCATATCACTTTGATTACAGCAGGCACAATTTGGACTATTGGAGACCATCGAGATTCTCAAGAGTGAGGCGAAGGCCTGTTCTTCCCCGTCACCTCTACAGCAGAGACCTAGGGACTGTTCAAACTTGAAACCCCCCATGCGTGGCCGCTGCAGAGACGGAGCCAAAATTCAAAGGAAAGCAAACAGGCATATCTTAGGCTATCTCTCTGGATTCGCGGCCCTTTTCCCGTTTCCTGAGACACGCACGATTAAAGCAAGCAGCTGCCGGCAGGCAGGCAGAGGAGACAGAGCCAAGCAAAAGCCATCTCTGACTCTGTGACTGTGCCTGTGTGCTGCTCGGTCATCACACACAGCACAGCGCAAGCGCAGAGAGACAGACACCGTGCATGCGCGCATGCTCCAAGTTCAAAGACAGGGCAGGCAAACAAACTGGAAAGAGGAGCTTCTTTCGCTAAGACTACGTGGTCCTGAACACAGTGAGATACTATACTATAAACCATGCATGCAAGCCAATGGTGCACAGACAGGGACGGTCGTGGCCATCATCAGGCCATGCTTGTGAGCTGTACTCCGTAGAGCATTGGAACTGCCATCGCACAGAGCGCAAGCACAAGCAGCCTGAGAGATTTTAGTGATGGATGGAGCCATGGAGGAGGCGAGAAGCTGAGGAGAGCGAGCTAGTAGCAGCGGCAATGCAATCAGCAACGCTAAACAATCTTGAACTGAGAACATTTCAGTTCAGAGGCTCTCAGCTCAGGGTAGCAAACGAAGATTCTCTTATCCCTGGCAGGTGGCCCCCCATGCCATGATGAGTGGGGCCCACCGGGGTCTTCCTCCGTCTGGTAATGTGACACGATGGTGTGCTTTGCACTCGCATCCGCTTGATATGACTGACAGCCGGCTCAAATCAGTCCAGCTAGTCCAAGAATACTTGCAGTTCCAGACAGAGGAGAGAGAGAGAGAGAGCTAGCGAGCTTCTAGCGGTGTGCCGTGGTAGCAAGCAAGCGTACAAAGCAGTACTGTGCAGGCCGGAGAAAAGCAGAAATAATAGCTGACAGCCATTGCTCCCTTCCGTTCTTTTGGCTCCTTTCCTTGCGTACAGAGCTACCAGTGCAGCGGTACACACAGACACAGCCTCCGCTCTCCCTCTCTCCTCCTCATTCCTCACTCATCAGCTTCCTCCCATTTCTCCTCCGCGGCTTCTTCTCCGAGCCTCCTGCTTCCTCTTTCGTTGCTCCTTTGGAAGCCCAGGGCGGCTCGGCTGTCAGGAGAGACGACGGCAGCAATGGCGATGGTGGACAAGGGAGGCGAGGCCACCGAGTTGCCCCCCGACATCCATGGAGTCGGGGAGAGCAGGATGAGCAGCAGGTCAGTTACTCACTCGTCCTTCTTCTCTTATGCTGTTGCCTGTTGCGAATATTCGTTAACTTTTCATCATGGCGTGAAGGGAGAAAAAGGGGCAGGAGGGAAGGATATGTATGGAGCTATGATTTGTCTTTGAGTTCTTTAGAACAAACTAAAGGTTTGGAATGCGCATGTTGAATCGATCAGTTGCACCTTTTTTTGTGTGTGATAATAATAATGCTGAATGTACTAGGGTTAGATTTGTTTCCTGCGTTGTGTCAAACATTCACAAGTAGCAGATGCATCTTATATAATAAAAAAAATAAGGTTGGAGATGCTTGCATGGCTAGAGTAGATGTTGCTTGATGATTCTTGGTTTCTGAAACCTTTGGCTAGCACTTGTACACCTGTTGTTTCATAAAGGGAAAAGTTGAGTCATTGAGTGCAAACTATTGACTTAGAGTTTTTTTTAAATGCATGCAACAATTAAGGAAATAGTTAAGCACATAATCCTGTTGTTAGTATGTCGGAAATACTTTGAGTTCAGCTTACTAGTGTTTTTATTTGGATGTTAGCTAGGGCTTTAAGCTTCAAAGAGATTTGTTCGGCTGATGGTTTTTGCGTCTAATAAGCCAGTTGAAGCCATGGCTGATAAGGCATGTTGTGCATTTGGCCGTTTAATTTCATCTACCTGCGGCCCTGTGCCTGGTATAGAGCATCGTATACAATTACAGGAGATCTGCGCACTGCATTTGTGAATCTCTTTCTAGTAACTTCTCTTTAGTCGGTTAATGGAACACAAGGACTTTTTTTTCTTTGTTGAGATGAACATTGCACAAGAGTAGAGCAGCACTGTGCTCTGGTCTAGTAGAGCATGCATTAGTCTGCTGCCGTGCTCGGCGTGTGTTGCATTGATGCCTTGCTGCCGTACAGAGTGCCCATAAATCCGTTCAGTTGTGTCATGTGTGCCAAGATTTGTGTGGGCCAATTTGGACCTTGATGGCAACCGAACCAATTGCCTTTGCCTTTTGCCCTGTTACACGATCTGCACGTCCTATATATGGACCTTCCTGTTTCGTCCTTTGCCGTGCAATCAATATCTGCAATCATATCATCTTATTGCAAAGGGCAAAGGCGCAAGTGCAGTGGTAGGAGTACGTGCTTCTCTCTGCCACTCCAATCGGCACTGTTTTAAGTTTCGAAAATAGCATGAATTCCTAAGGAGTCTATTCTACGATTTTTTGTATTTATGATCTTTGCCCTCCGATTTGATTTAGAACCTACGATTTTGACCGTCTGTTTGGTCTCGCCTGCAATGCAAATTCCAGGCCGCCGTCGCAACTCCACGGTGGCCGGCCACTGATGTACTAGTCCAATCCAAGGCGTCCACCCATGGCCAGGCGCCGCGAGACTCGGGCTCCATGTGAATTCAAGTCGGTGCGCGTCGTGGAGGTGGAGGTGGAGGCTTGGCGGTGGAGGTGGAAGGACAAGGATGCCATGGTCGCTGAAGCAGCGAGCAAGAGGGAATGAAGCCGTACGGTCCGGGAGCTGTATACATGCATAAATATTTTTCGTCTACCAGTAATTGGTAACTGGTTAATTAGCAACGGTGATGATTCTAAAGCCTTTTGAGGCTATCTATGGTTTCTGTTGCATTGCAAATTTGCAATGCTTGCATTCACTCTTGCTCACCAACGCACGCCGCCGGCGCTTTGGTCGCGATGGGGACGGGTGAGCTGCCTGCGACGAGCATGCACGCGCGGGTAGGGCGCCACGCCGCAGGCCTTGCCGGTTCCCGTTCCCGTGGCGTGGCCCGCGCGCGGGCGGGCGGCGCGGCATGGGCGGTGGGGGCCTGGACGCATGCGGCGTGCGCTTCGAGCGACGCGCGCGGCCGGGGTTTGGCTCCGTGCCCTCGTCCGTCGTCCCCGTGTGGAGCCAGCCGTGGGGACGGGCGGCCGGCCGGTCCGCTGGCCTGGACGCTAGCTTCTCTCGTTGGATGCATGTGGCTGCAGCAGGGTGGCGTGGTCGTCAGCCAGCGCAGGGACGCAGCGGGAGCGCGCTTGCGTGCGTACCCACCCGGTGCCAGCGCAGCGCTCGCCGCTCGATACATACACGCCGCAGCCGGCCGTGCTGCACCAGCACCGCTGCCGCATGATGCAGCTGCCACGATGCCAGGGAATACGGGGACGGGGAGGGACATTTCCTGGCCAACACGTACTTCGTGCCATTGCGCGCCGTTAGCGTTAGACCAAACCAAAGCCGTAGTATTTGAGAAGGGAGGAAAAGAGCTTACCTGAACAATGCAACAAATAGCTCTAGTACAGGTTTAGCCGAACAATGCTACAAAGGGCACATGCACTGATCCACAGCCTCCACTGCATGGATGATGGATCCATAGGACCATAGCGCACTGCACATGACATGTCATTTTGTCGCAAGCAACGCAACTAAAGTTGCAAAAAAACATGCCACATCACATAATAGAACTGAAGAACTCGATCACACAACTGAAATGAGGGCCGGGTCCGGGTTGACAGGCTCGGAGTGGAGACAAACACCCATTAATAAATAAATGCCATGACTCAAGGAAGAACAGTGTTTCAGGGATAAGCACAGCCAGTATCGACTGTCCTCAATGGGGCACACACCAATAAGACATCGGATCATATACAACCGAATATCCATGAAATAGTCTACCAAGTTTTGATGGCTGTTGATAGTCGCATCAGATCATTGTCTTTAAGCAAACAGTTCGGTACCGCTTTTAATCAATCACCAGCCCATCATACAGGTCGCATCTAATCGTCGTCGTCAAGGACACTTCGACGCCTCTGAATCTGTAAGGCAAACAAGAGTTAACAAAGACTGCTAACTTGTTCTGACAATAAGCCAGTTTATATAGAAGTGTACCCACTGTTGGAGACACGCAGACGCACAGTAGCTTTGTTCAATATAAGCCAGATGGACCGATGCAAGAATAGTACATGTTCAAAGTTTGATAAATAAAATCCACCATGCTTTACATACCGTAACTTTGGTTTGCTTGCTTGTTTGGGTGTTAATTTGCTCGAGAAGGGAGATAAGTCTTTCTTCAGACACCTATAAACCAAAAAAAGAATGCAGTAATTTACATGGTTGCTCTATTGAATTCTTGAAGCACCAAAAAGTAGACAAAGGGACAAAGGGATCTGTGCTTAACTATTACCTTTTCAGATATTCCACCAGTTTGAGCAGCTCTCAGCAGAACATCCTCCACCCCTCTTGCTTTGTCAGGTTTGACCAAAGCTATGCGGGAAACTGTCAAATTCATGCAAAAATAAGCATTGTATTACACTTCCTTCCTCCACTTCAACTGTTTACACTTTATTTGGAAGATTTATGACTGAATACTTAAATAGTAGCCAAACATATATGCTATTCAGAACATCTATTTCTAACAGTAACAGGCATCTACTTCTGGAACAACAATAACTATTCTAACCCTATGCAGAAACCTAAATTATTCATTCAAGCAAAATATGTCATGATCAACTACAACCAAACATCAACAAACAAATTGAACTTCAACATGATTAGTATTTTTCGTTTTATTCGTATATTGATGTCACCCAGATACAATTACTTTAAATGTTTATATGAAGTGTTTTGATCAGTGTAGCCCTTCTAGTATTTGTGCTGGTTGCTCTAGATTAGAGACATTTTCATCTTAGACCACATCGCTAGTCACACAAACATAAACAGCATAGAAGATTTTACTAAATAGAGGCCATATCAACCATCTTTTCTAATGAATCGGAAGAGTAAGTTGTTTGAAATGGCAAACATCATCAATAAAATTCCATGCTTAACACCTAGCTTATATTCCAAATATGCATGCTTTTCTTATTTGTTGCAATATCTATATATGATGAGGAAAATTATGCAATGATTCATGAAAGAATACTGGTGATCTCCAACTGTAACTATGTGGACAGAGCAACTGTCCTGTTCTTTTCAGGAATATATACACCGGTCAGCACACAACTGCTGAAACACATAACAGTTCACACCAAAGGCTTCTGGCCCTGTTTTATGAAAAGCAAATAACAGCATTAACAGGGAACAACAATCTAAGTGACTTTGCTTAGACTGGAAACCATGACAGCATGATTTGAGGTAACACATAATTGGGCAGGGACCCTAACCACATATCGCTGCTAAACTCACTCTAAACATTCCACTACCAAAGGACAGAAACTAAAATTCAGAAGAGAGAAATTAACAGACTCCAATAATTGCATAGCAAAAGAAATTTTGTAAAGTGTTTCATCCAACTTTTGCAGGTCGACTTGCAGAGCTCCCTAAAAACACATAACAGTTTCCATGCAATGGAGGAAACAACTCGCTAAAAGATGCATCAGCCATTTGAATGTAAATGATTTAAAAAAATGCATTAAGCACACATATACATGACTTCGATAACAAGAACTTACGCCTTTCTCTGGCTTCAGAAGATAATATCTGAGCAAGCATCATCTGTCGGCGTTCCTCAGCTTCCCTGATGGAGAGTTATATTCAAAGACAATTCAGTATTCTCCAGGTTTAACAGAACATAGCTTAGCATGAGAAGATGGTGGAGGAATGGACCATACTGTTTCGCATCTTCCTGAGCTTTTTGTTGGCCCGCATTCTGCTGATTTGCCTAATTAAAAGTTAACATTAGATCAAAAGTCAGTAAACTAAGGAGTACCCAAACAAGCACTTGCATTAGCAAGGAGATCTACATGTGACGGCTTCAATTTATGTCATGGAGTTTGGTATCTTACCCCACCACGCTGTGCCATTAGTTCTTGCATCCTCCTCTGCCTGATAGCTTCCAACTCTGGGTCAGCCTGGCAAACAAAATTATATAATTCCATCAGAAGAAATGCAACAAAAGCATATGGCTGTGGATACTGGATAAAGCACGTCTGAGCACCCTAAATTCCATTGAATTTAAGATATTTTCTTTTTCCTAAAAGACCAAGTTAAACAGAAACATGAAAAGATTTAAGCCTGGTGCAGTGGTGAGAGTGGTCTCACTGAGTCACCAGGTCGTGGGTTCGAAGCAGCCTCTCCGCAGATTTTGCGGGGGAAAGGCTTGTCTCGGTTTATCCCTTCCCTAGACCCCACTCATGTGGGAGCCTTCGGCACTAGGTCTGCCCCCCCTTTATGAAAAGATTTAAGCCAGAAAAAAAAAAGTTAACCAATACTGATTTATTTCAACAACTCCTAAAGTTCTTATGCAGTTGGGTCATTGATTGCGAGTCAAAATGACAGGGACGCTACCACAAAATATCAGAGAAGTAATCTTTCAAAGGTAAAGGAAGACATGCTGAATTGCTGATATCAGATATGAAGGCACACAAAACATGACAGAAGAGATGGAAGGAACCCTCCAGCTCTAACAAAATGATACCAGATGTGAACATATTTTCTTGTTCTTTTGGATGTACATGTGCAAATACACGCCATGAAACATATCAGTATGAGCATCAAAATTACTCTCAGTCTCAGCACGCTTACATGAGCAGCTCCAAACAACATCACTCCAGCTCATCTCTAAAGGTAGCTAAACCACTATTTTTTCACCGTTATTCAGCTATTTGCATTTGATAAACCAGAACAATCACAATATTTTCAAAACAGCCTGTTCAGTCTTAAGTGCCAACATATCAGTCCCCCCTCGCGCTTTCTAAGAAATCAGACAACTAAACCAGTAGGCACCGAATCCGAGTGAGGCATTAAGCATAAGAACAGGGATCAGGATAAGTAAGTAATCAAAGAACGCAGCACAAAGGGGAATCGCAGATCGCAGCCCATCAGATGCTTAATCTTCCCGCTAAAACACAACTAAAACCCTAAGATTCAAACACAGACAGAAGTCCACAGATCCTCTCAACCAAAGAAACATAGGAATCCGAGCTCCAATCTCACCATCTTGCGCGCGCAGCGGAGATCGCAAGGCTCTTCACTCCGGACCTTCACTTGAGCGGGGACGGCGTCCGCGGCGAGCTGTGGACCTGTGGCAGGCAACAGCGAATCGAGCCTTTTTTGTTCCTTTCCGCGTGGGTGCAACGCGACCCGTTTTTGCTCTCGCCTTTCCACCTCCAATGTCCAATCTCAGCCGTCCGATCTGAAACCTCTTCTCCACGCCGTCCGATTGGAACATCCGAAAAGATGGCAACGGGAAATTCCCGCGGGGTCCACGTCCCCGAGCGGAGGTTAGCGAAGCTCACCTTGGGTCGCCGCAGCCATTGTCGCTCGGACAAGCGAGCAGGCGCTCAGTGCGAGCACTTGTGCGTACAGCCGGCCACCGGCGATGAAGCCGCTGTGTCCCAGATCCGCCGTCACCTGCGAAGTTGGGAATCTGGGATGGAGTCCTCGCTGCGACACTGCCTCTTTGTGCTCGTGTGCGTCGGTGCTGCGGCGCTCGGTGGCCGGTGTGCCGCCGTCACCTGCGAAGTTGGGAATCAATCGTGGTGTTTCGCAGTTTCGGCCCTCCAAACATCGACTTCGTAACAATAACCGGGGACTGGCTACATAAAGAGTTATGCTTTCGAACAGGCAAGAACGTAACTACACATCTTCTCCAACGATCGAGTGTTAACTCCGTTTCGTCCGACCCCCAAAGGTTGGCTCCACCTAGGCCGACGTCTGAGGGCAGACTCTGCCTCGCCCGACGTTCGGGGGCTAGCTCCGCCTCGCCCGACGTCCGGGCCTGGCTCCGCCTTGCTCGACGTCCGGGGCCTGGCTCCACCTCGCCCGACGTCTGAGGGCAAACTCTGCCTCGCTCGACGTCCGGGGGCAAACTCCACATCGCCCGACGTCCGGGGGCGGACTCCGCCTCGAACGACGTCTGAGGGCAGACTCCGCCTCGCCCGACGTCCGGGGGCTGGCCCCGTCTCGCCCGACGTTTGAGGGCAGACTCCGCCTCGCCCGACGTCTGGGGGCTGGCTCCGCCTTGCTCGACGTCTGGGGGCAGACTTCGCCTTGCCCGACGTCCGAGGGCTGGCTCTGCCTCGCCCGACGTCTGCGCGTTGCTCCTTCATAATTACACGCGCAGATAAGGCAGGACACTCAAGTCAACCACAATACCGAGGGCCTAATGGCTAATGGGCTTTTACTTTGCTTGTGCTTCATTTGGGCCAAAGGGATCGGGGACTATCGTACCTAGGATTTTTAACTTTTTACCATCATTACGGATTTCACTCCTTCATTTGCCAGCTTTATGCGCGGTCCTACATAATTGCCATCGCAAGCAGTGAACCTCCTACGTTTTTGCCATTTTTGCTGACATGACACGCCAGGTGGGCACGCCAGCGTGGCAGTGAGTCTAGGAAGGCCTACCGAGCATGCGAAATAACCTATTTACCCCTGCAGCTTCTCTCTCTAGTCGCTGACGCGTGGACCCCACATGTCAGCTTCATCTTCAACCTCACGCCATCACCACACAGAGAGGGAAGGGGGAACTCGTGCAGTCCCGCTCGCGCTGCTGCCCCTCCTCGACCTCCGGCATGTCTTGTTGAAACGCGCGCCCTGCCGCGCGCCCGTTCGGCAATAGGATCCGCACCCACTTGCTGCCACCCCTTTCGCGAGGCGTGTGGAGTTTGCCCTGCCAGCGTACGTCGCGGTCGCTCTCGCCGAAATCCGTCGTGATTCCGAGCTTCAAGACACGACTACCAAATAAGTACGGTTCATGCCACACTCGCTTGGTGCTCTTGGGATCTGCCTATTCACCATCTCTGCCATGGCAATGGAAGAGCTCGACGAGTTCGAGGTGCTGTGGGCGGAGACCTGCTACACGCATAAGCCGCCGCCGCCTAGCTCGTCACCTATGCCAGTGCAGGCGGTGCAGCCACCCGACGCGCTTGCAGCGCTTTTTGGCCTGTGGATGTGCCCGGCCCCAAGGCTGACCGCTCCTACGCATTTGCTGCTATCGGCTGGCGGCGGTCGGAGGAGGCAGAACCGGCGACGTGGACGTTGCGGGCCTCCGTTGGCCCACCGTCGAGCGACCTGCGCCATCTCCGTGACTCCGTGCTCCGGATGACCGGCCTCATTGAAGGATGATGTCGCAGCGCGTCGCGTGCATGGTGCTGATATAGCTCGATTTGTACTCGCGCCTCGCGGTCAAATTAAATGGACCAGCGCGTGACATAGCGGGTGATCTGGCAAGTCATGCTGGAGGGCGAGGAGGGGCAGCAGCGCGGCTGGGACTACAGAGCTCCTCGCCTTCCCTCTTTGGGTGATGGCCAGAGGTTGAAGACAAAGCTGACGTGTGGGGCCCACGCGTCAGCGAGTAGAGGGAGAGAAGCATAAGGGTAAATAGGTCATTTCGCATGCTGTGTAGGTCTTCTTAGGCTTACTGTCACATCGACGTGCTCACTTGGTGTGCCATGTCAGCAAAAATGATAAAAACATAGAAGATTCACTATTTACGCCATGTTTAGTTTGGAAAGTTTAGAATTTGGACTCCTGTAGCACTTTCGTTTTTATTTGGCAATTAGTGTTCAATCATTAACTAATTAGGCTCAAAACGTTCGTCTCGCAATTTCCAACCAAATTGTGCAATTAGTTTTTTTTTCGTCTATATTTAATACTCCATACATAATCGCAAGATTTGATGTGACGAGCACTGTAGCACTTTTTAAGATTTTGAGTGGTAACTAAACACGCGCTTACTATGTCAATTATATAAGAGCACTTATAGACCTGGCAAACGAACAAGCGTAAGTTAAAAATCCCGTCATACCCGACGGGGAAAGGATTATTTCCATTTCCACCCTCGCACCGCATCCACCGCGCCGCCGCGAGACAGAGAGAGAGAGGAGGAGGACCGGAGGACGAGTGTTTCCGATGGAGAACGGCGAGGAGACGTTCGCCTCCCCCACCGCCGCCGCCGCGGACTTCGAGTTCTCCACCAACGGCGGGGACGGCACGCCCAAGCTCCACGACGCGGCGGACGAGATCGAGGCCCTCCGCGCGGCGAAGCGCGACTTGGAGGAGAAGCTCGATGCCGTGGGCCACGAGAACCGGTTCCTGTCCTCCGAGTCCCGCCGCCTCGAGGTCCTCGTGTCCCAGGCCCGCGAGGAGGTCGCCGCCGCCGAGCAAGACGCCGCCACCAACGAGAGCGAGGCCGCCACGCTCCGCGCCGAGGTCGAGCGCCTCCAGGGCCTCCTCGAGGCGGAGAAGGCTAGCCATGAGGGGGAGATGCGCAGGGGCGCAGGGCTCGGTGACCAACTGCAGACCGCGTACCGGGAGAAGGCCGCCCTCGAGGAGGAGATCGAGACCCTGAAGGGTTCCACCGCTGCCGGTGGCAAGAGCAGGGAAGAGGAGGAGTGTGTTTCGGTTGCTGCCAGGGCCGGGACGCCTAAGGATGAGGGCGTGGTGCCTCCCGTACTGGTGGCTGCCGCGGCTGCTGGAGCAGCTGCCACGGCTGCCATCGCAGTGGTCTTGCTCAACCTCAAGAGGTAATCTGGTGGTCCGATGCGCGGGAAGTTTTGATCTGCTGCTATGGCCTATATGAGAATGGGTTGTCCGTTTTGTCGTGGTACTAGTGTTACTGGACTCAGTAGTAGTATCTTTACTATCAGTTGGATAATAGATTAGAGCGACCTATATCGCAAGTACCTTTACTTTCTGCAGTTTTCCATGCTAATAAGAGTTGTGAACACAAATGAGAGGGATAGTTGAGTTCTGGTATGTTCTTTTGAAGTTGCACCTAATTCCAGACTTCGAATTATTATGACTTGGATGGTTTGTACTGTTATGTCTCGTGTCTCTGGTTGTTATCTTTGTTTGTGAAGTCTATGTGGTGGAGATGTTGATGGCTCAGAATCAGGGTGCGTTGTCACTGGGGTTAATAGCTTCTGGTTGGCTATTTGACTCGGCAATAGCGAGGCTGTGGATTGGTGTGCCCAGAAAGTGCTGTTGATCATACCAATTTTCTTGCGACATTTGTTGTTAGTCTTTTCAGGTGATCGATGAGCAAGGATGCTACTTTGTTTAGTGGATGCCTGGAGATGTTTTTTAATTGCAAATTTGAAACATGAATGATTGTTTGCATGTCTCTTACTGCTTGATGCTTGTAGAGACATTTGTTGAATAATATGCTGACTGCTAGTCTATATCGCTCCTAGTAATTAAAGATGTGTTGACCTTAATGGATTATCAAATGGATATATTTTGCGCATCTATGAATTTGTTATTGAGGATCCATGACTTTGTTAGCTGGGTTATTGCTAGGTGACTTTTAATATTGATTACTATCGAGATATTAACTAATGTCTGCCTCTTCTTTATAAGTGAAGTTTGTACCTTGATTGGTGTTCCTCAGCAAAACATTGATGCTTCTGCAATTGCTCTTAGGTTGAGACTAATTGGTGAGAGAAATAAATATACATTACAAGCTTCATGGAGTCATTGTTAAGTTAGCAAATGAACTAAGTAATATTGTTCAGTTAAAGAGGTAGTGGTCACTATATATTCAAGTACTTTCAGTGGTTAGCAATTTAGTTCAAAGAGCTAAAACTCTGCACAATCTCTTATGAGCTCAGGTAATTGGAAGATACTTTGACCAGCACCTGATTGTTGTTTGTCATTCATTCTGTAAAGATATCAACTAGCAGTATCGTGTATTGGCTGAAACAGCAAACTCTGTTTTTGTTGCTTTACTAGAATTATTGGTGGGTTTTGTTTCAGAGTCATGTGGACGCTGTAACCACTGTATTTAGTATGATGTTATTGTGTTTGAGATTTGAGATGAAAAGCTTGTTACTGTGTTTGAAATTTGAGATGAAAAGCTGTAGAAGTTTAGCATCCCTTGCATTTAAGCTAGGCAGCATATCAGTCTATACCACTTTTTAATATTGATCAACTGGTTTGGATACCCCCTTAACCATAAGGTTTGATGTAACATGTTTGCCTAGCCCTGTTTGGATATCCAATAGGCAGCTAGTCAGGTATGTCTGTTCCATTGGCAATTGGCATGCGCCCTTTTGCTTGTAGATAAAAGTTATATGTGGCTACCTATTGCTCCAGGCATTTTTTTGCCAATTATCACCTGTGGGTTTGCGACTGAACTGAGTGCATAATACTTAAAAGAATAGGTGGAAGTATAACCGAGCACTTCTAGCTTCAACGATTCGATCTGCACCTGATTGATGCCTGTGGTTATTCATTCGTCAAGTGTGTGTACACATATCATATTGCTGCATCTCCTTGTGTAAAACAAGAAACCATGTGGCTTGTCTGTTTGT